GAAACGATTAATGTTCGTTTTAAATCTATGTATGAGCTATAAATTTATCGTAAGTCGATGCATGTTCAAATAATGATTGTTTATATTCGATTTTTGTCCTCTAATAACATTTTCTGCCCAATTTTCGTTTAAAGCGAATTGAGGATATTACACAAATCAAATAAATGATTTTCGTTATGTTCTGATAAGATATTATTATGATGAGCCTTAAAACAATTCATTGCATTTTATCAAATCTAATATCGATAAACTCCTTTTACCTTCTCCACGTTAAGTAAATTAGAATTATCATTACTGGGAGCTACCAACTACTATGTGTCTACTGCATATACTTATATATATATGAATAGATATTATCCATCTACTGATTCATTTAATAATTGAATCGAACGAGTGTTGATACAAGTGGCTGGGATTAAAGAATTTAATCTTGTAAGGCCAAGTTTGAATTCTACCACTATCACTCTTGGTGGACATATGTAAATTCCTATGTAAATCCCAATTGGGTTTTAGGTATGCTCTGGACTGGGGGAGCCACCCTTGACCTAAACTTTTTTGTAACAAAAAAAATATTAATTGTTAGCTATTATGTTATATATTGTTTAGTACAATGTTATTAAATTAAAATGTTAATGCAATCTTTTTAATTAATTCTTAATATATTAATTGTTTTCTAAACATTTTACTAATTTAAAACTCTTAATTTAGAATTATTTAACATATTAACTAAATCATGAAGTAATATGTGAGTTAAAATAATTTTAACACTTAAAATTATAATTATAATTTTATGCTATGAAAAAGTTGATATATGTGATTATAAAAGTTATTTTATTTTTATTAATATTTTATTTATGTTTTCAATTATGTAATACAATTGTGTAATAATATGATATCATAACTTAAAACTTAAACGTTTAGTAATAGGATTTTTATTTATAAAAATAATAATAATAGGATTTTGATGAAAAAAATGTTTAATAATAGTTGTATTTGTATACTAAATGTAATTTTTATCAGTTAAAAATCATACTTTGTAAAATTAATTGTAAATTAACCTACTAGATTTCAATTAAAGAAATACATTTTTTTACTTTTATATATTTAGTTCATTTGAGTTTAAGTAAATTAACAAAATCTACATTACTTAAAGAGGGAAAAAAGTGTAATTGATTTTAAACTTAATGAAAGTAATAAAATTTTTATATTTACATTTTTATTAATATTAAGGGTAAAATTAAATTCCATCATTCAACTTTTCTCTTACTTTTATTTAGGTCATTAAGTTTAACAATTTTTAATTCAATCATTAAACTTTTGAATTACTTATGTTCTGATCTCTCTACCGTTAAATAACAAATATTGTAATAACATATTACATGTCAGACGATGTGATGACATATTCACTGTTCAGATTCCTATAAATGTCATTTTTATCTTCTTTTTCCTTCCTTCTTATTTTCTCTCCCTCTGTTGAACCTATTCAGATTCGGACTAGGATGTCATCCATTGGTCTGATCATCAATAATGATGGCCGATGGGTCCCAAAATTTTTAGGGTATTTTCATTTCCTTTTTATTTTAATGTATTTATATTATATTTTCCTCCTTGACTTAAGCAAACGGGGTAACAAGAGAGAGAGAGAGAGAGAGAGAGATAAGAAGATTGAGAAAGGGCTCAAGCGAGAGTAGGGATGGGCATGGCCCCCAAATTCAATGGTTCCTACCCGATTGAGTCGGATTTTTCTAAAAAAAAATTAGATTCAGATTCGGTTGGTTCGGGTTTTTTAGAAATTGAGTTTGGGTTGGGTCAAGTTCGATTTTAGAGTTAAAAATATCCGACCCAAGAAAAACATATACTTTTTCCTTTATATTTACGGATAATTATAATAATATCACTCTATATATTATTTTTTTCAATTAAATCCCTATTTTTATTAAATAAAAATAATATATTTTTAATAAATATATTATTTATAGTCGGGTTGGATTCTAGTCGAGTGTATATTTTTCGGGTCGGATCGAGTTGACAAAAAATTTAACCTGATTTGACCCATGTTCATCTCTAAACAAGAGCTACTAGCAAAGGCAAGCTTATTGTTATTCCATTCTAATGCCATCTTTAATTTTACTTCTTATTATTTGCAATTTATTCCACCAAATAAATCATTATCAATGTCTTTTTAATTAATCATTAGTATCCGGTCTTACAAAAGCGAAGACGACCCTCCCCACCCAGTTTGTTCCATTCACAAACGCTATGATTCAAACCCCTAACATTACTTAAAAAATCTAGAACCTCATCCCACTAGACCAATTGGTTCTTGATATTATTAGAGTTCACATCATGTTACCTTCAATGTATTAGAGCCTCAATATCAGAGAAATCATGTGGATTACGATCTTTTTATAATTTAATGAATGATTTAAAAAGGAATAATTTGAAAATTTAATGATTAAATTAAAAAATTAACTTTAATAATCAAAATAAGAGTGAATGTTAAACATGAAATTTATAATTTATTTAAATATTAAACTAGGTTAACGTTATCTAAACTCGATTTTTGAGCAATTTTTTGTACAAATTCAGATAAAATAATAGAATTGAACGTTATTAATTTTAAACATTTAAAAGGGATATACAAAAAGATTTGCAATAGGCACTTTTTGAGCTCCACACTTTGGGTAATTGATATTTGAAAATAAAATGACATAATAAGAAATTTAATAATTCCAATTCCAATATATAAATAATTATCCTAAATATAAATATTTCACACAAAAATAATAATTTTCTTACTTAAAAAATCAATATAGATAGATAAATAATAAACACACATCACCTAAATAAAAAAGGCTTAAGATCATGAACTAAATGAATGTTCCCAAGGGAACAAACAAGAAACCATGGCTTTGTGAAGTACAAGGCCATGCCAAATTTAAGAATCAAATTCACCAAAGAACTCAACATTCTTCAAAACCTGTTGGGATGGTTTTCCATGTCTGTTTTTTTTTTTTTTTTTTTTGTTAAAGCAATTAATTGAGTAAAATAGGTAATGATATCATAATTCAGTTACCTATTATGCTTTTAAATTTGATTAAGCAACCCAATGCTTGCTCAAATTCACTGCCTTCCATGGCGATTGTGAAGCGACAGTAGCCTGGAATTCCGGTCCACAAGACAGTGTTGATGCACAAGCCAGTGTTGATGCACAAGCCAGTTGTCTTGGCAACGGCTTCCCTCAGAGATGCATCATTTAGCCTAATTTCATAGGCGGCATCCTTTTCACCACCGTCTCTGTGTTTAAGTGAATGGTTGAGCTTGACAGCCCTGTCGAGGAAAGAGGGCTTTGCCACCATTGAAACACCACCACATGGTCTAAGCACACTCCATCCACAACTTTCAAGGACCTATTACGAGAATAGTAGCAAAGAGAACTGCTTAGGTTGAGAAAATTGCCACTCAAAACTAGCATTTAAACAATGCACTCAAGCAGAATAAACAGGCCAGGATAACTTGATAAGGCAGTAACTCAGTTGTAATTATAGAAAATCAGTTTAGTTACCGATGTAGATCAATTGCTTATTTCTAACAGTGGTAAGGTAAGATTCAAATTTGCACCTGCTTCAAGAATACATTTCACACCATGTTAAGAGGGACAAATGTTCAAAAAGGATAAGAGCTAGATAGAAGGCAGAATCATGAAAAAACGAAGGAAAACGTGGTGCAGAGAAAAATCAGCCCCAGCTATATTGTTTAAATTCTATTTTTTGTTTTAGTTTATACAAAAATGCTCTATTTAGTCAAAAGATTCTTACTGGAAAAACTGATAGGATTTTTTTTTTTTATAGGAATGGAAAGCCTCGTTAAAAACCTCATTCTTGATTAAGGAGCTTGATAATAAGCTCCTTAATCAGCAGAAGGAGGAAAAAAATGCCTTTAATTTTATTACTAACGGAAAAATTACATAAGATACAACCATTACACCAATAACAATACATAAAACTTAAAAACATCCCCTGGCATAAAAGCCTTTACAGTACATAAAACTTAAAAACACCCCCTGCCATAAAAACCTTCACAGTAGAATAGAAAACCATAGTTGACTCCTAACAATCAACCTATCCCACTCTTAGCTAGATTGTTTGCCTCCCCATTGCACGCTCTTGGAATCCACCTCACTGAATGTACCTTACTAGTGATGAATGTACCTCACGACAGCCATTGAAAGGAGGAAAAGAGTACATTTTTTTATAGGAATAACAGGCCTCATCACACACCTCCTCCTTGATTAACGGAGTCTGATAATCAGCTCCTTAATTTAACCACTCAAGTAGCAACCAAAAACCTAAAACTCAAACAATAAAACCCACTGATAATGCCTAACAATCAACCAATTCCCATCTTTGCTAAACTATCAACCTCCCCATTACACACCCTTGGAATCCATCTAGCTGAGTGCACCCTATCCGAGAAGAGTGATAAAATCTCCTTAACTAAAGGTAAGATAAAAATAGGGGCCAAAGTTGGGGTCAATATCCATTCCACAGCCGACTTGCAGTCACTTTCCACAATCAACCTTCCAACAGTAACCCAACAAGAAGACAAATAGATTTCAATTCCTCTCTTAATAGCCTTTAACTCTGCAACCTGGGGGGACCTTGACCTATATTTTCTGAAAAAGTCAGAAGAAAGTTGTTGTTCCAGTCTCTCAAAATACCTCTTATACCTCCATTTGTGCCATCAAGTCTAACAGCTCCATCAAAATTCATCTTCAAAAAATCAACAGGGGGTGGGAACCAACGAATCACCTGAACATTCTTAGGATTAAGAGCCTTAATACCGTCTGCAAGAGATGGATCACCAATCAGCACATCCTCCTGAATAGGAAACTTAGGGTACTTGGCTAGAAACCATTTAGATAACCTGAATCTAGCAATAAAAAACAGAGACATCCTATCAAGGGGAGCACCTTCGAACACCATTGTGTTCCTAGCTTTTCAAATCGACCAAAATACTACTCCCGGAATAAATTTCCAAATCAATGATTTCCCCCTCAGTTCACCCCAAGAGCTGATCAAAGAAGGTGGGTCCTTTGGAAGTACCAAAGCTATATCCCAAAAGCTTACTATCTTATACCATAGTTCCCAAACTACAACACACGAAATAAATAAATGTTGCATTGATTCCACTTGTTCCTTACAAAAAGGACACAGAATTTCATCTCCTAGCTGCATTCCTCTCTTCACCAATTCTTCTCTAACTGCCACTTTCTGATGAGCTAGCTGCCACAGGAAAGCTTCAACACGAGGAGGAGATAATCCCTACCACACCCCTTTAAACCACATATCAGAACCCCCCGATACCTTCCCGAGTACATTTCTACAAGATTTTACTGAAAACAATCCATCCCCACTTGCAGACCAAGAAAGAAAGTCTTCTACTGATTCTGTCAGTTTAAAGTCATTCAATTTTGTCATCAATTCCAGCCACTGCTCCAATTCCCAGTCACATAAATTCCTTCTGGTTTCGACGTTCCACACCCAACCATTCGAATCAAAACAGCCAAACTCAGCAACCTTACCCTATCTGTTTGTAGACAACACATACATTCTAGGGAAAAGATTTTTTAAAGGAACCTCGTCAGCCCATGTATCTGTCCAAAATGAAATAGACTTTCCATTCCCCACTTTCAACTTAGAGTGTGATCTGATACATTCACCCTCCGAGTCATTCTTCAAGAAATTGTTAGCAATACCTCTCACAATCCAAGAAGATTTGGGCGAAAACACCTTGCTAATAGACATGGAATTACAGCTAACCTTGTGTCTACAACATAACACACTTTTCCACAAAGTATTCTTTTCATTGGCAAACTTCCACACCCATTTTCCCAAAAGAGCCTGATTAGAAAGATTCACATCAAAAACACCAAGAACACCAGAATTCAGAGGCTTGCAAACTGATTTCCAATTAACCCAGTGTATCCTCCTTTTTTCCTCATTACCCCCCATAGAAATCTGGCCATTAATGAATTGAGCTTCTTACCAATAATGCAAGGCATTCTAAAAAGTGATAAGAAAAATATTGGTAAGGAAGTAAGCACCGACTTCAATAAAATTGTCCTGCCAGCCAAAGAGAGACAAGAAGCTTTCCAGCCGGCAAGTTTGGAGCTAAAATTCTTGAAAACTGGATCCCATAGAGCTTCTGAGTTTTTCTTAGCACCGAGAGGAAGTCCCAAGTAATCTGTTGGAAAGGAACCCACTGAACAGCCCACTGCTAATGCCCACTCTGTTAAAACTTCCTCTTCCACATTAATACCAAGCAGCTTGCTCTTAGCTAGATTTAGATGCAACCCTGTCATAATACTAAAAATCCTCAACACTCTCTTGACATTTTTAATCTGGGAGAGGGAAGCTTGACAGAAAATGATCAAGTCATCTGCAAATTGGAGATGTGACAACCGAACAGAGTTTTCAGATTTCCCAATAACAAAGCCTTGAAACAGACCCCTGTCTACTGCTTTAGTTATCATCAAATGAAGCAGCTCACCTACAATGTTAAACAGTAACGGAGATAAACTGCACCCCTGCAGCTGAGTTAACAAGAATCCAATCCAAACACAAGCACTAGTCAAGTTCTCAGTCTAAGCTGAACAACAAATAATTAGTTATTCTGAAATAATATATTTTAAAAAATACAGATGGCTCTAATATACTATATCTACTTTTATTTGGTATTAGTAAATAAATCACGGTTAGAATAGTGCTAAAAATAAAAGATATCAAAGCTTATAGGTTTATAGTAGTCAACAAGACAGATAAAACAAACTTATCAAGCTTGTCATGAGTGGCTTATACAGTTTGTTTTAAACTAGAGCTTATCCATTTTTAACTCGGTTTATAAAACCGGGCCTGGATTTTCTCAAACTCATTTATTAAGCTTCACAGACTATTTTTTAGTGCTTGCCTTTTTTTATTGCTAAGAGATAAAAGAGTCCCAGTAACTTTTGTTGCATCTCAATAGAATAATGGTGTGTCTCTTTTATATATACTCAAGAATTAATACACAAACCTCTGGATGTGGATGTCTGTCTGTATGTTGAAAAGATAGAAGCTCATGAAAAATACAACCATAATAGTTCTGGCTAATCAATGATGTATTTCCTTCAAGTATTTCAACAGTTTTTGATAATGCCTTCAAGATGGTCTCTTCTTCTGAAATTATGAAGGCAACTTCTAAATCTGAATAAACCTGTTAAAAGGTTTGACAGAAATAAATGAATTTGTCAGTAATAATAAACTAAAAAAGAAACTGAACAGATTGGAACTAATGGTCAATTTAACGGCTACTGAATTTAACCACATAAATACAAAAACCCACTGTGAGTGACCTAGTTTCCTTAAAACATACCTGATTCTTTACCAGGCCACAAAGGATTGCTACATGTGATGGCAAAGGAGTTTCTATTTTAGTACCCCAATGGTACCTGGAATGCTGGATAACTCAAAGTGATCAGATATGTCTAAGAAAAGACGAGACCCAACTTGTCTGGTGGCATCTAATAGTTGCACAACAGCTGAACTAGTAACAGCCTCAACATTAGCTATCCCAGTAACCACAAGTTGTGGCTTCAGCTTTTTAATAAGCTCTATCATTATATCTGACTGGCATGGTGCTTCAATGACAGTAACTACATCCTCTGACAGGGCTGCTCCCTCTCCCCACTGCTGTTTAATTTCGTTGGAGAGCTTCTAAAATCTAAACCTATTGCTTCTAAAATTTTTTGCAATGCATCAAAGACGTAGATTCTTAATGTTAAGAGAGTTTTACGAGTTTTCGAAGTTATGTCCGGTCTTCAACTGAATCTCATCAAAAGCAAACTATTTGGCATTAACATTTCTGAGGAAGAGGTATTGCAGTGGGCGAGTACTATTGGTTGTTCAGTAGGACATTTCCCTTCGGAATATCTTGGGTTGCCGCTCGTGCTAATAGAAATTCTTTAGCTTCATGGGATCCGGTTGTGCAGAAATTTTATAAAAAGTTAGCCGGCTGGAAGGCTAAGACACTTTCAATGGCAGGGAGACTAATCTTATTAAAGGCGGTTTTGTGCTCGTTAGCTACCTATTTCTTGTCTCTATTCAAGATTCCTTCTTCGGTGAATGTTAAACTCAATTCCATCATGGCCAGATTTTTATGGGGAGGAGGGGTAGACTTCAAAAAGATTCACTGGGTTAATTGGTCGACAGTGTGTACTTCTAAAAGTATTGGTGGTCTTGGTGTTTTGGATCTCAGTTCCATGAATAGAACTCTCCTAGGGAAATGGTCTTGGAGGTTTGCAAATGATAGGGAGACTGTGTGGAAGAAGGTGATTTGTAACAAATATAATCTGGACCCTAGCTTATTGTTGTTCAAGAGCAAACTTCCTGCACATGCTTCTTGGATATGGAAATCAGTAGTCAAAAATCATTTTAAAGAAGATCAGTTTGGTGCTAAGTTTCGAAGCTTGTTTAAAGTCCGAGTGGGTAATGGAGAGAGTATCAGATTTTGGTTTGATAGCTGGGCGATTGATTCTCCTCTTAAAGTTGTTTTCCTGAGATTGTTTGTTCTTTCATTAAACAAGAATGGGAAGTTAAATGAGTTTGGAGAGTTTCGTTCATCGGGTTGGTTTTGGCATGTTCAGATGAGAAGGAATTTGAGTGATTGGGAACTGGATCAGTTTTCTGATTTAATGGCTATAATTCATCATATTAGTCTGTCTCATGAGTTGACAGGTGGTATGATCTGGAGAGGGAATGGGGAAGGTATTTATTCTGTTAAATCGACTGTAAAGTTATGCTACTCTGTTTCGACAGTTGAGAATTTTTTGATGAAAAATATTTGGAGGGGTTTGGTGCCTCCTAGAGTGGAGATCTTTATTTGGCAGGTGGTGTATCAGAGTTTGGCAGTAAAATCAGAATTACAGAGGAGAGGGGTTTCTTCTATTGTAGACGTTGCATGTCCTTTCTGTAAAAAGGAGATTGAATCTTCATCACATTTATTTTTCACTTGGTTCGTGGCGTGGTCCCTATGGAATAAATTTATGAGATTTTGGAAAGTTAGTTCGGTTTTACAAGGCAATGCGCAAAGCTTTATTTTAGCTTGGGGAGATATGGTGCCTTATTCTTCTATTTGGTCCATTCCGGAAGTGGTTCTTTGGACCATTTGGAAATTTAGGAATGCCGTTGTGTTTGAAGGGGGAATGTTGGATCAGATTGATCTATTCTTTATGGCAAGATTTAGGCTCGCTACTTGGTTCCTAGCTAAGTTCAAGGATGTGTCTATTTCAAAGGATGCTCTCATCAGTGATCACTTCTTAGGGATTGTTGCTCTCCTTCCAGGAATTCAATCATCAAAATTGTGACTTGGTCTCCTCCCCAAAGGGCTTTATAAAACTGAATGTGAATGCATCTTTGAGTGGAGATTGGAGGAAAAGTGGTGTAGGTGGCTTACTAAGAGTTGAGGATGGCTCGGTGATGGGTTCTTTCCAAGAGGTTGTTGGCCCAAGTCCTATTTTGATGGAGCTTAAGGCAATTAAGAAGGGCTTAATTTTCTTTGATTCGATCCAACAGCTTTGCAAGGAACGTTTGATTGTTGAAAGTAACAGTAAACTAGCTGTGGATTGGGTTAAGAATTCTGATCGTTGTCCTTTTGTCTATTTAGATTTAGTGAAAGACATTGTTGCTAGGTTGAGAGATTTGGAGGGTGTTATTAGATGGGTTGCTAGGTCAGCCAATATTGGGGCTGATAGCTTAGCTAAGGTTGCTATTGGCTAGTTTCACTGTTTTGTTTAGGTTGCTTTTTATGCTTTGGGTCGGTTATTGTAAAGGGAGTGTTTATATTTGTTTTCTAAACATTATGTATCTTTCGGTTATTAATGAATTCTAAGGCACTCTTTTCCTCTTTCCGCTGATTAAGGAGCACCTTGTGGTGTTCCATTAATCATGAAGGGGGTTTTTAACGAGACCTTCTCTTCTTATCAAAAAATAAATAAAGTGACTAACTCAAGCTCAGCACAACAGCCCAAATCACAACCTTGGCTTAAGCTTTGGTCATGTTATATATATTGTATTAGAGCTTGGCTTGAGATGGTAATCAAGCAACATGAACCGACTCAATATAGCTCAATTATCATCAACCCATGTATAGAAGTTGAAGTTACACTTCTGCCCTTGCCTGAACTCAAATTCAAACTCGTATAGATCCGGTAAATTAATAATATCATATTTTTGTTGTATACGTGAATGAAAACTTATCAGAAGCTTAATTATGCTTGCAAAATGCTGGTATCCAGTATTAGAATATTCAAGCAAAGACCAATACTTATCCAAGAAGCAATGATTGAGTTCAGCTCAACAGTAAAAAGGATGAGTTTGAATACCAGAATGAGTCAGGCACTGATTAGCTTGTCTCATTTACACACCTAATTCCAAATAGACCATACGTTAATTTCCAAAGATGTTAACCATTGCTTGGGTAAGTTCCGGGTAAGGTGTTCATCAACAATTGCACGACCGGGGGGGGGGGGGGGGGTTAAACAGCCGAAGCACGTTCTCAATTGCCACAGTCCTTGACGGAAAGACAACAACATTCTTGCATATTACAGAAAATGATGTCAGAAGCTCAGATGATATATAAGGTTCCAAGAGATGCTAAATCAGCATTTGGTTGCGCACTACTTTAACATACATAAACAGAGTACTGTTATGCTGACTACTTCTAAATTGAGAAAATAAAACAATGGTTGCAGCTGCATGATGTATCCTGCAATGTGCGAAGAATTTAAATCTTTGCATAAAAAATAAGATACGTTACTATGAAATATCTTACATCCAGTATTATTACAGAAGTTTCAATCCACTTGTTGGCTTTAAAATTCTCTTCTGACAGCATTTGGAGCTCAACATAAAAATGCAGGAAATCACAATCGGTAGGTACATAGGATCACAAAGCTAAGCCCGGAAATAAACATAAAACTGAAGGGCATAGACGGAAGAGGCATATAACATTATTTTAATTTTCAAAAATGCCCAATCATCATTGTAATGTTGGCCTCACAAGGTTTTGATTATATCACACAGCAGAATATGACTGAGGATATGAATTAACTCAAGTATATGGGCCTAAGTTATTTATTGTTGAGTAAGGACAAGTGTGCAATGAAAGACCAAAAAGAAATGTGATATTCCCTTCTAGTCAGAGTAGAAAGACAAGAAGCAGAAGAACAGATATAATCACTGCACGGGATTTCAACATTTTATAAAATGATACCACAGCCTTTTTATTCTTCTGTACACCAACCTCTATTGAATTTGCCTAAACACTTGATCATATTAAAAAGGAAACCACAAACAATTTGATTTACGAAAGAGAAAACAACACTTGAGCAAATAACTAATATGTAGCCACAGGCAAAATGATTAATCAGGTCGATCAGGAAAAAAAATAAAAGGAAAAGAATTAAAGAGTCAAGAGTGTCTTCTTACGTCGGAAGTAAGTGGAATATGGTGATATGTTTTCATAAAGCCAGCAATTAGATTACGAAATCTTTTGCATCCAGCTGGTGGCTCATATGGAAAGCAAGAGTTGTCTTTCAAAATACTGGCAAGATATGCTAGGAATGGAATCTTCTCATCCGCAACTAAATCATCATCAAAAGATAAATCTAGAGAGCTACCGATCTCTTGGAAGCCACTTTTAAGAAATTCAAATATTACCTTGATCTGTCAGTTTAAAATCAGTTTAAAAGAATGATCAGCCATTTTATTTTATTTTTTCCCAGTCAGGAAAAACATCACAAAATTCCACCTGATTTGGATGACGAAGTTGACAACTGTAAACCGATAATCCATGAGAGATACGGCCACCAGACTTTCCATAGGCCCAGGCTGTGCGAGCATAAATAGGCTGATCTCCAGAAAGCCCCATAAAGAAATCAAAACGGTGAGGACTATTCTTCTCAATTTCAACTAAGGTTGAAATATCAGTGTCCCCGGCCTGTAACATGACTCAGCTTAGTATATCTGAATAAAAAAAGGTTACAAGTGAAATGTGATTTTCTTGCCTGGAGAACTTTGGTTTGCCAAAGCCTGTTGACACGGAAACCCCTTCTTTTAAACAAGCGTCTACATACTCCTTGTCCCGGACGGCCTCCCATGTTGAAGATCATAATACCTGTAACTTTTATGACAGCAATTCCTTCCTCAACTGCCCTGGCAATCAGACCTAAGCCAAATTGATCCTCAACAAAACTACAAAGGAAAATTGAATGAAATCATTAAGTTCATGTATTAACAGTAGATAAATCCAAAGTAAAAGAAGTCTTGTCCTAAGTTTTATCTGAAACCTTGTTATCCTCAACTTTAGATCTTAAAGCCACAATAAGCATGATTGAGCATGTGAGATCTATTCATTCAATGCTTTTTGCAAAAAAATATAATTGTTTATGCTAATATTGCAACTACTTGAAATTGAGTTCATGGATGAGGCCATATCAAAAATGAAAAAAAAATTACAGAAATTCAAAGAGCAAATATTTTTCTTAAAAGGGACTAGAGAAAGGCCTTCAGCATTAAACTCATGTCCTCCAAATTCATTGAATTATAATTTATTTTACTCTAATTTCAAGCCAATGAGCGTGGTAGATTGTTCTGGTTATTCCACATAAAACAAAAAATAATCCTATTAAGTGTACTTAAAAGGATCTACAAAAGAAAAAGGATCTAGTAGACATTTAGCTAATTTACTAGATTTCCAGATTAAAGTTAACCAGATGGAAATAATTAAAGTAATAACATCCAGTAAAAAATTCCAAGCATGTGCTAAGAACATGTCAACTTATAGCACAATGACATTACCTGAGGTATGCATCAAACAATTCTTTCAAGTTGAATATCATGTTCCCTACAATAAGATAGCAGGTCAGATTCATGAAACTCCACCCTATCCGGTAAGGTTTTCTTTTCTGCATCATATATTGGTTGGCCTTTCTCATCAAAAGCATTCATGTATAAGTTTATCCAAGAAACCTTCACTGCTCTCGGATTTATATCAAGGCCATAAACCTTCAATAATTCAATTCAAACATCATACTTTTAATGATGGAAAAGACCCTATCATTAGGCGTTTAGTGAGAGAAGCTCCTCCTCTCTAAAAATCAGGCGTTTTCAAAAATTTTCTTTTTTTTCACTTTTCATCTCTCTTCAATGACGAGTAAGGTGAGAAGATCTGTTGGGGAAAATTGCGTTACAGTGATCATTTTCAATATCCCAGAGTGTCTTCATCATCAAGGTCTTTGGTTATATTTCGATAAATATGGAGAAGTGGTTGATTCTTTCATCCCTAATAAAAGAAGCATGGGAGGAAGTAGGTTTGGCTTTGTTCGCTTCACCAGATTGGAGGACGCGAGGAAGGCCATCAACTGTGCTGATAGATCTTGGATCCAAGGTTTTAAAATTAGAGTTTTCATGGCAAAATTTCAACCTCGTGATGAATTCTGGTGAAAGAAGTTTTCTGGTCCAAAACCAGTCGAGGTAAAGAGCAAAGTGTAGGTTGATACTCATTCAGAGGCTCCCATAGTCGATGTTGTCGACGAGGTTAAGCTCATAACTCTCAGAAATAGCTTGGTAGGTTGGTGCAGAAAATTTTTAAAAATGAAAGAGTTGGCTGCTCTTTTGCATAAGGAAGGTGTGTTAGGTCCAAAAATTATGAGGTTAAGTGGTTTAGCAATTTTAATCATTTTTGAAGATGAAGAGAGTAGGGATTTTTCTCTTAATAATCAGAGTAGGGCGTTGAGTAACTGTTTTGACAAAGTGGAAGTGTGGTCGGAAAACTTTCAGTGCAGCAGACGTCGGGCATGACTTTCGTGCAAAGCAATCCCGTCGTTTGTGTGGAGTCATTCCACCTTCAGAACATTGCAGACAAATGGGGAGAACTTATCTCCATTGAGGAAGGGACCTTAAATCCCGGCTCGTTTGATAAGGCATTGTTTTAGATTATTACGAACTGCCATGCTCGAGTGGAACACTACTTAGATTTGAAAGTCGGGGATCGGATCTATACAGTATTTTTTTTGAGTTTGAACCTTGTTTCAGACCAGAATCTGTTTGGGTAGATTCGTCCTTGATGGAAAAGGTAGTGGCCTACCCGTTATCCACGGTGGGGGAACTCGTTGGTGACTCGCCGGTAAAAACTTCCGAGATAATGTGTTGAGGATGCAGGAAGAATTGTGGACTCTTCGGAGGAGAAGATTTCCAAGAGGTGTTTTGAGGAAGAAGACAGTCTATTATGTTGTATGGGGAACAGAACTAGAGGCAGCAACTTGAAAGGTGAGGATGAGGATGATAGGAACATAGGGGAGGAATTATTTACGGGACTGAGGAATATTGTTGCTGGCCAGGGGATGGCACAAACGAATTTTGAGGAAGTAGTGGATCACGAGGATTTGTCGGTTCACGCGGAGAGAGAGGCTGAAATTGTCAAAAGGAAAAGTAGTGTGGTTGCACGTGCTTTTGAGGGAATGAAGGATTATTTAATAGAATTCCCCATGTTGGATGGTCGGGTAGAGACAAAGGTGGTGGAGGATGTGAGTAATGTGAGCTTTTAAATATTTGTGCTTTTAAAAGTTCCAAGGGTGGATCACACGAGATAGTGCTGGATCATGAGGAGAGAGGGGCAGAATATGTCAACAATTTGACTACATGTCCTAATGGTAGTAAGAAGGATTTTTTAATTGATTTGCCCATCAAAGGCGGTGCACGAAAAGTGAGGGATGATTTATTCTCGCACATTTCCAGGCAGAAACACAGAGCAAAGGAGGGGAATTATAATAAATTTAACTCTCTCCAATCTTTACATGATAAAAAATCGGCTCCTCAAAGGAAGACTTTGCATTGCCGAAGCACTTTAAAACAAAAGAAAGCACAACGCGAGGACTTTACAGGCAGATTCCTGTATGATTTGGACTTTCCAGCATTGGGGCAGAGTCTAAAGAATGAAGAGACAGACTCCTTACAGTTTGGGAAACAATTGGGTTTTGAGTCTAATGGCTTAGTAGTGGCTCTGATTTCGGAAGATTATGGCAGTGGAAGTTTTGGAAGGTGACTCGCATATGATCATAGCTTTTGGTGCTGGAGGTTCGGATGATCTATGATGACAAGATGAGCATTAAATGGTAGAAAGGAGGAGTTTCGAAGCTTGCTTCTCTGCAACCTTATCATGAGGAAGCTCTAGGCCTTTGTGGTTGATTTTGGTTTCTATGGATTGAGTCAGCTGTTTTTTTTTTTTTTTTTTTTTGCTTCTATAGGTGTTTTGTTTTGTGATGTCTTTCGGGCAAACCTAAGGTTTTAAGTCTGGTCTGTTTGATTAGTGGCAATTAATGTTGTTTTTTAGGCTGTTTTTGGTGTTCTGTTTATGTTGGGGGTGGATTATGGTTGTATCTTGTAAGTTCTTTTGTTTAATGAAATCATAAGGCACTCTTTTCCTCATTCTGCTGATTAAGAAGTTTCTCTATAAACTCCTTTAATCAAGAAAGGGGTTTTTAACGAGTCCTTCAATTCCTATCAAAAAAATAATTCAATTCAAACACAAAAAGATTCATAACTGGGACTAAATACCTAATTTTCCATGCATAAGGAACATAAAGGAAGAAAAATTAAAAACCTTGGCAGGCAACCAATTATCAGCAATTGATATACTTATCCATCCGTTTCCACAACCAAGTTCAGACTGTCTTTTCCTTGAAAATGGAATCTGGGTGTCTATTGAGTCCATAAAAGGTAAATGATCAATCTTCAGGCATAAAAATGCTAGGGATCACCATCATTGTCAGTTTCTTCCTTCCATGATGGCCTCTGCATAAAGCAATGTTAAATATGAAGCATGACAGGTATATGATGGGCTATTTATGGTTCAGTTAATGATAAGTTAGACATAAAGAATAGAAACCATTGCTTAATACGGTGGATTTAATGCATATACAGTGTATGTGTGTGCATGTATGAATCTCATTTGAACAAAATTAATTTAAGGTAGTTGCTGGAATATGGTTTATATCTAGTGAAACTATCTCATTATTACTAATCTTATTCCTAACAGAATTGTGGTATTAGTATGAAATAGTCACATATGCTAGTAGCAAAATAAAAAGAGAACCCCAATAACACTAGTAAAGGTTTTTTTCCCCCTCAAAACTGTCTAATCCATCAAGTAGCCAGAGGTTTGTAAAGCAAGTATTTGTAGCTCAAATTGGCATTGGAATATATCCCATTGGTTAAGGCACTAAACAGAGAAAGAAGTCAAACAATGCCAAAAGTTGGGTCAGATATTGGCCATTGACAGCTTAAAATAAACTATATTAATTATCATGCTCTTTGAAAGATTAGCAGAACAATGCCCTCATTTTTCATTTTGCAAAGTATATCTTGTAAATAGTTTTGGACTAAATGATGCAAAATCTCTTTCTGAAACCAAACTTTCATTTTGAAAGAACTCCTCTATTTTGTATAAACTTTCATTTCAAATAAGCCTGTGTGTTAAAAGGAGGATCACTGTGGCAGGCTAGGAGAAAACAGCTTAGTTGCTTCAAACTGGAGGAAGTTACTCCAAGTAAGGAATTTGATTTCACAGATTGCCACTTGACAAACTGGCCAATCAATCTGGATAATCCCAAGGGAAAGGTGCTTAGTATGTAAAGTTTGGAGAAAGGATCAAACATGAAAAAGGTACGATGAGATAGGCTAATATGGTTCCCTTTCCATATGCCTAAGCATTACTTGTTCAGAATGGCTATATTGAATAGGCTGTTCGATAGCCTTATTTCGAGGAGGATAGACATTGACAGTAGCTGCGTTTTCTGTCATAGACACCAAGAAATCAGGGACTATCTGTTTTTTGGATAATGAAAAGCAAACTTGTCCCAAAAAGAAAGTTACACGTTTATTTTTATTATGTTTCGTTCATATGACCTGCGTACAATAAAAAATTAATAATTCCACGAGTGGATTTTCTTTCCAATGATGGTGTTAAGATGATGACACAAATTCGTATTCCATCTTCACCTAGCAATTTGTGCAATACAGACCATCATTGCCTGATAAGCTAAATCAATATCTAATAACACTAGTTAAAATAATAAATATAAGTGTAATTCATACACAACTTTTCATGAAATTTTTTTATAAAAAAAATCATGAAAAATAATGTTTTAAACGTTTAAAATCTTTTCCAAATAATAATTAAATAACCTCTAACAATGGACCCTTTAATCTATTAATCAGCATGAGCTTTTGTCTGCTAAGAAATTAAAGAGAAATATTAACATGCTTTCTGGCGGGACACGCGACGGAGACACAATAACAAAAAGTAAAGTTTGCTCTCCGAAGAAAGCGACACAAAATAAAAAAGGATCGAGTTGACTTTTTTTATGGTTAAATAAGTGGGAAAAACTGAGAACTGATGAACGTAACTGGTTTAATTTCCGGTTCGGTTTAATCAGTTCCGTTTGTCCTTTTTTCCCTCGGGAGATGAAAATCCCAGCAATCTCGACAGGTTCAATTCATGAAGATAAATATATTCTTAATCAATACTAAAAAAGAAGGGGAAAAAACCTCGAGGGCAAAAGCAATGGTTAAAATCACTAGAATTTGCAGCTCGGATTATAAAATAGTACCTTCATTCCGGTCCAAGTGAATGTCCTGAAACCGGAAATGGTACCTATCAAAGCAATCATCGGAGAAACCGCCATGCGCTTGAAGATCCGAAAGGAAAACCCGGGCTTCGGTGCGGGTCATGGGATCCTCAAGCTTCTCCAGAAGCGATTTGAAGGCAGCGTACGCAGCATCACCTGACTGTTCGCACTGCTTGAAAAACTCCACCGCCATTTCCACTCTCTGTGTGTGTGTTACTATTTTTTTTTCTGGATTTCCTTCTTTTTTTTTGGGGGGGGGGGGGGGTTTGGGGGGAGGGAATCAGACAAGTGATAAGAAAGGCTTAGTAAAACGTGAAGTTACGTGAGACTTTTTGTCGTTCGGTTTTAATACTTTAATACATTGTTTGACCCCTTTGAGTAGGAGGTTTTCAATCAGGTATTATTTGTTGTAATTGAAATTACAGAATTTTTTTTTTAAATTTTTGTGTTTGTTTTACGTAATTTATTTTTTGAAAAATATTTTCTCTTGTTTGTTTCATGTAATTCGTTTTTTAGAAAATATTTTATCGTGTTTGTTTCACCTAATTGATTTTTCGGAACGTAATTCATTTTTCTAGTAACAAAATTTATTTTGTGTTTTCTGAAAAATGACTTACGGATTCATTTTCCGAATTTTTCACTTCAAAGAATAAATATTCAAAATAATTTTATTTTATGAATTTAATATTAATAAAATATTTTAATATCATTTTCATCAAAATATTATTTATTTATTTATTCATTAATATTTATAATAATATAAAATATTATATTTTTAATATTATATAAAATAATCAATTATATTATAATAATATAAGATATTATATTTTTTATTTTAATAATATATAATAAAAAAATTTATATATTTAATAATGAATAATATTATTTATATACTTAAATAATATTTTAATAAAGATATTTAAAATATACTAATTAATATTTATATATTTAATAATGAATAATATTATATTATTTATATATCAAAATACTATTTAATAATAAATAAATTATTTTTAATAATAAAATAAGTTTTATGATAAATAATATTATTTATTGTATTTAATATTTATAATAAATAATTTTTAAAAAACTCTTCAACTAGTGGAAAAAAGGTTTAAATAACATCTTCCAAACATCATAAAACGTTTTCTAGATATTTTTCAGAAAAATGTAATTCATTTTACGGAAAACATTTTCCGGAAAACGTTTTCCAGAAATGTAATTTATTTTCCAGAATTCAAATTCCAGTAATTCATTTTTCGGAAAACCAATTACTGCCAAACCTCAGTTGAAAATTATACATCTTTTATTCTATTTGAAAAATATATACTTTTGACTTGATTTGAATGTGATCTGATTTATTGAGATAAAATTTGAATACGATCCGACCTAAAGTAATATATTTATTAAAAAATATTATTTTTATTCAATAAAAATAGGGATTTAATTGAAAAATAATATATATAGGGGTATTATTGTAATTATCCCTAAATATATAATGTAAAATTATATTTTTCTAGTCCGATCGAGTATTTTTCACCCTAAACCCAAATCCGACCCGACTCGACCCAAACATAACATCTAAAAAAGCACGATATGAACTTAAATATTTTAAAAAAAAATCGACCCAATCGAGTCGGGTCCGGTCAGAACTTGTCGAATTCGAGTCTCATGTACATCCCTACTTTTGAGGGACTTAATTACATTACATGTCTTCAAAGAAGGACCTTCATTTTAAATTGGTCCATAAATGTTTAATATTATAATTTCATCTTTAAACTATTATTATCATTCTAAATTAGTTATCAAAATTTTGAATATTTCAATTTCACCCCCAAACTATGACATTTATTCTAAATTGGTCCCAAAACTTTTTTGAATATTTGAATTTCATCCTAAACTATATGTATATACTAATTGTATCCATTGTTAATAAAATCGTTAGGTAAAATTATATTATTATATGTTTGGGAAAAAACAAATTTAGGTTAAACTATGGTTGAAAATTATATATATGGATGAATTTGGGGATGAAATTGAAATATTCAAAAGTTTGGAGACATTTTAAAAAGAATATCATAATTTATGGATAAAATTAGAATGTTCAAAAGTTTAAGATTAATTCATAATGAAAATCATATTTTATTAATGAAATTAAAATATTTCAAAATTTACAGACTAATTTAAAATGAGAGTTATAGTTTAGTGGCCTATGATATAATTAACTTGCTTCGAGAAGGTTAGATCCTCACCTATCATATTTTTATTTTATAATTAATTTGCTTCGAGGTGGTTAGATCCTCACCTATCATATTTTTTAATTAAGGAGGTGCATTTTTTTAATAACTTAGGGTGATTATAAGGTAGTATTTGTTCAAACAATTTTTAACAAATTGATAACACATATATACCCTACAAACGTAACTATTCGAACCCAAGACCTATAGGGAGAACAACAATTGTTTTTTATCACGAGACCACTTTATGATTCAATTAAGGAGACGTGTTTTGATTCACGAAGATATAATGTGAATATGAAGAGATGTAATGTTTGAATGAAGAGATAATGCTAACATGAAGAGAAGTGATGATATCAATATGAAGAGATATGATGTTAACATGAAAAGATGTGATGATGTTAATAAGAAGAGATATGACGTGAACAATGAAAAAATACAATATTAATATGAAGAGATAAAATTTTTCTATAAAAGTTGGATCAGCTAGCGTGCGTCGTTTTTAATGAAACGGTGCGCACAATGCTGGGATGAATTCTGCAAAAACTTTTGTGCGATTTTTACTGCTCCTGGGGTCCTATTCTCGCACTATTCGAATATAATTTGTGTGAACCTTCATCGTCTAAGCATGATTAAAAACATTTAGTGCCTGAAAAATAAAAAAAAATTAAATGAAACATGCTTAATTGAAATAAAATAAAATAAATGCAACAAAATTAAAAATGGGTTGCCTCCCATAAAGCGTTTTTGTTTAACGTCATTAGCTTGACGACCTGATTCAGACTACAAGTTCTTCTAAGTTGAGATCTTCGATTAGGCAAGCCTGACTATTCACATAATACGGTTTTATTCTGTATTCATTGACTTTAAATCGAGTACCCGAATCATCTTTAAGTTCGACTGCTCCATGAGAAAAAAATTCAGTTACCGTATAAGGTCCACTCCACTTCGATCAAAGTTTACCTCTAAAAAGTTTTAACATTGAATTAAAAAGAAGAACTTTTTATCTGACATAAAAAAATTTAAAAGCAATTTTTCTATCATGAAATTCTTTTTTTTTTGTCTTTATATATTCCGGCATTGTCATAAGCATCTCTTCGGATTTCCTCAAGTTCCTGTATGTGTAACTTCTGTGCTTCGCTAACCGCTTCCATTTCCATATTGCATTGTTTTATCGCCTAATATGCCTTGTGTTCCAGCTCTACTGGTAAATGACATGGCTTACCGAATACAAGGAGATATGGCAACATGTCGATAGGTCCTTTATATGCAGTTTGATAAGCCCATAAAGCATCAATTAATTTCAAGCTCCAATCCTTGTGATTTCGCTTGACTATCCTTTTAAGAATTGTCTTCACTTCACGGTTTGATATTTCTTCTTGTCCGTTCATTTGCGGATGATAAGCCGTGGCAATTTTGTGATTTACTCCATGCTTTTTCATAAGAGAATCAATTATTAGATTGATGAAGTTTGTGTTGAGGTCGCTTATTGTCGCTCTTGGTTTGCCAAACCTGGAAAAAATACAATTATTTAGAAACTGAACAGTAGTTTTGGCATCGTTATTTCGAGTAGCTTTAGCTTCTATCCACTTCAAAACATAGTGAACAGCAAGAATTATATAACAATTGCCAAAGGAATAAACAAAAGGATCCATATAATCAAGTCCCCAAACATCAAATGTTTCACATATATGAATAGGATTAAGGGTCATTTCGTTTCTTCGAGTCAAATTACCTGCACGTTGGCAATTATCATAGGTTTTGCAAAACATGTAAGCATCACAGAAAATATGAGGTCAAAAGAAACCGCACTCCAGAATTTTATGAGCAATCCACTTTGGTCCGAAATGTCCACCACACAAATAAGAATGATAGAAATTTAAAATTAAGCTTACCTCGCTTTCAGCAACACATCGCATAATTACCTGGTCTGAACAATGCTTCCAAAGATACGAATCATCCCAAATGAAAAAACGAGATTCTCTTTTAATACGGTTTACTTTGGCTCTCGTCAAATCAGATGGTAATTTACCTGTAGCTAAGTAATTAACTATATCTGCAAACCAAGGCATTAACTTCTGCGCCATCATCAAGCTTTCCTCCAGAAATTCCTCGCGAATGGGAGGATCAACTGTAGTGATTGGAAGACAACTTAAGTGATCGGCCACCAAATTCTCACTTCTTTTCTTATCCTTGATTTCCAAATCAAATTCTTGGAGGAGTAAGATCCAATGGATAAGTCGTGGTTTTTCCTTTTTTTTGCTAAGCAAATACTTCAAGGTTGCATGATTAGAGAAAACAACAACTTTAGTGCCAAGAAGATACGATCTAAATTTATCTAATGCAAAAATGATAGCGAATAATTCTTTTTATGTTGTTGAATAATTTCGTTCTGCGGAATCTAAGGTGTGTGACTCATAGGCGATAATGTGAGGTTCTTTTCCGGCCCTTTCTCCGAGTACGGCTCCAACACTTCCATCTGAAGCATCGCACATGACTTCAAAGGAAATGTCCTAATTTGGCGGTTGGACTATGGGTGCCAAGACCAATTTTTCTTTTAAATCGTTAAATGATTCTCTACATTCTTGATCGAAATTGAAGGTTTTATATTTCTGTAATAATTCGCATAATGGTTGCACCACCTTGGAAAAGTCCTTAACGAACCTGCGATAAAATCCTGCATGACCAAGGAAAGAATGGATTTCCCTCACAGTAGTGGGGTTTGGAAGTGAACGTATTATATCGGTTTTCGCCTTGTCTACCATAATTCCTTTTGACGAAACAATATGGCCTATAATTAAACCCTTATTAACCATAAAATGACATTTTTCATAATTTAAAACAAGGTTAAATTCTAGGCACCGATGCAACACATTTGTTAAGTTTAATAGACATTCATTAAATGAATTACCGTAAACAGTGAAGTTATCCATTAAGACTTCAATAACTTTTTCAATATAATCAGAAAAAATATTAATCATACACCTTTGGAATGTGGTAGGTGCATTGCAAAGTC